GTTTAATCCAAATTAAGTCAGCAGCTCCATCAGGCCCCCAAAGCTTCAGGGGCCCCATAAACGCTCATATTTACTGAAACCCGCGGAACATTCCTTTTTCAGCAAAAGCTTTCCTGATGTTGTCAAACTCGGCTCGCTGTCAGATGGTCTCTGCTGAAAAATCCTGAATGAAAAAAAGTTTATTCCCATCGTATTCAATGTTGCGTTGTTTTGTCGAGCGTAAAACAAATTCCCGATCTTGGAAATTCAGGAAACGTATGAGGACAACTCTGTGCCGGTTTGGTTTTGGAGGTGCCATCGTGCGGTGGGCCCTCTCAATGGTGAAAGGTCTATCGGTCTCCAGCCAGCGCGGCAGCATCTCCCGTATAAACTCCAGCAAAGGCCGCTGACCCTCAGCGCTCGCTCGGAGCCCAAAAAGGCGCAGGTTCTTCCTTCAGCCTCGATTCTCCAGGTTGTCGGTCTTAGCTTCCAAGTAGGATATTCGCTACAGGGCTTTGGCAAGATTAGCCGTACTAGTTTCTAAAAATTCATCCGCCGACACGATTCTGTTTTCAGCTTCCTCCAGTCTAGTAGCATTAGCGGCAACATTTTGCTTTACTTCTGCTATGTTTCCTCCAGAGAGGCAATGGATTTTGTCATTTCACCCATCTATCCTGTCCAATTTGTTTCCAAATCCACCAAACTCTGAATGCAACGACCCAAGTTCAGCTAGCACCGTGCTAAGGTCACACATGCTATCAATGCTAGCGGCCCCCTCTTTGTCTTCATCTGTTAATGAAATATCAGGTTTAGCTGGTTTTTGGGAACCGCGTTTTCGTGTGAAAACATCACAGTCCTTAAAAGTGTCATGATCGTGTTTCTGTGTGTTCATTTTTGCAGTTTTTTGTGTCCAGTTTCATTCCTGTGAGTCTCTGTCTCTGCGTCTTCCCCGTTGATTGTTCCCAGGTGTGTCTCGTTCCCTTGATCACCCCTGTGTGTATTTAGTCCCACCTGTTGTCTGTGTTTGTCGGTCAGGTCCTTGTCTAATGTCTTACGCTGTCTACGTCCGTCGTGTATTTCTTGTGGTCCTCGTTGTTCTGTTCCTTGGCAATTCATCATTAAATCATCATCTTATCTTCATCCTGGGCTGCCTGCGTCTTACCTCACCTCACTTCACCAAAACCATCACTCCTGACAAAGAGTGGTTGATTTTGACATTTTCGGATCCAGTTTACGTTACTAATCCTGTTTTTTTTTTTTTTTTGAAGATTTGGCCCAGGTCACATGGAGCATCCACTTTAAGCTGCCATTCTTGGTTCATGGTTCCACAGCGCCCCCAGGTATTAATTTAGTGTTATGCTCCACAGCAAAGGGAAAAGTACAACTCAAAGCCACTTCTTTCTTGCCCTCTGTGTCGGCTAAGCTACACACAGATTCGTTGCCATAACTACTGACAACAGCACCACTTTATGTTTCAGGAAAAATACTCCATTTCCCACACAAACAGAACATTCAGTCTGTTATGTTTTCAAACTTAATGTTTATTTTGCTACTAAT